ATTAGAATAAATATATTTATCTCCTCAAGCATTTACCATTTCTGTAAGGTGAAAAATTACAAATCCTTCCTTCTAACTAACTGAAACGTACATCTTATTATCTGAAGTCACCCTAAGGTCCAACAGCACACTAGGACCTCTTGCTCCTGCGTGACCATAACTTAGCGTCTCCGTCTCTCTGCCTTCTGGAGCCTCCGGCTTTGGTTACTACCATTCTACTCTCAATTTTACGAGACCGATTCTTCTAGACTCCTTCTATGAATGAGATCATGTGGGATTTGTCTTTCTTTGCCCGGTGCAGTTCACTTCATTGCATTTACATCCATGCAGTTGCTTCGGATGATAGGATTTTCTTTTTTTATGGCTGAATAATTTCCCCTTGTGCCTCTGTACTACATACTTCATCCGTTCAGAAGCTGGCAAGCATGTAGATGGTTTCTAGTTTCTGACTACTGTGAGTAGCGCTGCAAGGAACGTGCTACTGCGGTTTTATCTTCCACGAGATAATTTTAACTCCTTTGAACGCGCTTCCAGAAGAAGGACTGCTGGATCATATGGGACTTCTTTCTTTTTTAATGTTTTAAGGATTGCATTATTTTTCCTAAAGTTGTAATGTTTAAAACTTGTAACTTTTTGCCCACTTTACACTCACTCACGGTCCTAAGTGTCTTTAGGCTAAAACCAACTCTTAGCTACTTTTCGGTACACTCGAACTAATTCGGTTTCTTTGTTCACAAGAGTGATAGACGTGTAATTCTCATGAACTAAAAGTCTGAGCTTGATGTACTTACTGCACAGGTCTTGGGGTAATGACTTGCATCTCTCAATGCAGTAGTTGCAAGTGAGACATGTTTTCAAATTTAGACATCTTATATGTTTTACTTATAAATAATTTGCTTTCAGGAATAAAGAAAGAGCTGAACTACATGTCAAACCATTCGATCCTTTGTTACACTACGTGAGAATTTGAAATTAAAATTTTAATTAGATATTGCATCTTTAAATTTACTAAATTAAGTACTAACTCAAGTTTATTGCATTTTTTCCTGATTATTACCATCAACAACATTGTTTTACCTTGTCAACTAGCGTAAGTTGTTCATTATTGTGAATTTCCATTCTTCAGAACAGGTATTTTAATATAATTAAAAAATCATAATGCAAAGATAGCATTAATTTTTAAGTCTTTGATAAGCTAATTTCACTGAAGAATGAAGACAAAATTTTAGTAAGCTCTCCATAATCAATGGGTGTAACATAGTTATAAGCACCACTAGAGCTGGCATATTAATATAATCAAGAAATATTTAATAATTTGTAGAATATAGAATAGTAAAGGCAATCTTTAAAAAACATTTTGTATTATGTTTGTATAAAAGCTCTATGTAACTTTGATGTCTTTTTTTTTCATTGAGTTTATTGGTACTTTTCAAGTATACATTACAGTTATATTCACCATTGGGATCTTGTACCTTTACATGACAGGTCTTGGTTCTTATTTTTTCCGCATTCTCCTGTTCTCCCTTCACCCCTTCCCCCTCCCCTATTTACAAAAACTTTGTGTCCATTTTTTTCCTTTTTCTCTTATTTTTTCTTTTCCTTTCTTTCTTTTCCCCTACCCTTCCCACTTCCCCTACACCTTTAGCCTTTTTCTTCTTACTTCACATTGTCAGTTATACAATTTGAATCTTATTTACATTTTTAGTTTTTCACACCAGAGAAACTATTTGTTATTTACACGTGTGTCTTATTTAAATCACTTAAGAGTATGACCTAAATATGCATACATTTTCCTTTGAATGACTCCCGTTTCTCATTCTTTATGGCTGAGTAGTATTCCATTTTATAGAAAAACCACGTCTTCTTTATCCACTCTACAATTGATGGGCAATTGGACTCTTTCAAAATTTTAGCTATTACAAACTGTGTCGCTATAAACATGGGTGTGCATATATCACTGTGGTATGATTCTTTTGGAAAGATACCCAGTAGAGGGATGGCTGGGTCAAATGGAACCTCCAGTTCAAGCTCTTTGAGGTATCTCTATATTGATTTTCACAATGGTTGCACCAGTCTGTACTCCCACCAACAATGGAGAAGGGTTCCTTCCTCCCCACAACCCGCCAGCATTTGTTATTGGTTCATTTCTTGGTAGCAGCCATTATTTCTGGGGTGAGGTGGAATCTCAGTATTGTTTTCATCTGCATCTCTTGAATGACCAGTAATGTTGAACATTTTTTCATATATTTATTTGCTACATTTACTTCTTTGTTTTAGAAATGTCTGTTTATTTCAGATGTCCAATTTTGAACCAGATCTTTATATTTGGGGGCCTGATTTTTTTGAGTTTTTTATATATTCTAGACAATAGTCCTCTGTCTGAGGAGCAGCTGGTAAAAATTTTTCCCACATTGTAGGTTGTCTCTTAGCTCTGTTGGTGATGTCTTTGGAAGTGCAAACGCTTTTTAACAAGATGAGATCTCAGTTGTTGATTCTTTGTGCTAGTTCCTGTACTACTGAGGATTTGTTCATAAAATCTTTTCCTATGTCAATTTCTTTGAGACTAACTTATCTTCCAGAAAGTTTATTGTTTCTTTTTAAATATTTAGATCTTTAATCCACTTGGATTTTAGTTTAGTGCATGGTGAAAGATAAGCATGCAGTTTTAATCTTTGGCAGGTTGAAATCCAGTTTTTCCAACACCATTCATTTATTAAAGAGGCTATCTTTCCTTCACTGAGATGGTTGGCTCCTTTGTCAAAGAGGAGGTAGCTGAGTTCATCTGGAGTTATTTCTGTACCTTCCAATCTATTCTGCTGAACTTCTGGTCTTTTTCTTTGCCAGTACCATGCTATTTTTATCACAGTGGCTTTGTAGTATAGCTTCAAGGTGGGGATTGTGATACCCCCTGCCATGTCTCTGTTGCCTGGAATTGTTTTTGCTATTCTAGGTCTCTTCCAGTTCCAAGTGAATTTTTATATTATTTTCTCTAGGTCTGTGAAATACAGTGTTGGAATTTCAATCGGCATTGTACTGAATCTGTATAGCAGTTTTGGAAGTATGGCCATTTTCAATATGTTGATTCTTCTTACCCAGGAGCAGGGGATATCTTTCCATTTTCTTATACACTCTTCGATCTCTTTTTTCAGAGTGCCATAGTTTTCAGTGTAGAGGTCTTTTGCTTCTTTTGTTAGATTGATTCCTAGATACTTCATTTTTTGGATGCTATTGTGAAAGGAATTATTTCCCTAATTTCTCTCTCAGTGAGTCTGTTATTTGTGTACACAAATGCCATTGATTTTTGAGTGTTGACCTTATATCCAGCTACTCTGCTGAAAGTGTCAATTAAGTCTAGAAGTCTTTTGGCAGAGTTTTTTGGGTCTTCTATGTAGAGTATCGTATCATCAGCAAATAATGACAGTTTAACTTCTTGCTTTCCTATATTTATTGCTTTAATTTCTTTCGCATGTCTAATTGCTATGCCTAATGTTTCCAGAACTACATTGAAGAGGAATGGTGATAGTGGGCATCCTTGTCTTGTTCCTGATTTTAATGTGAAGGTTTTCGGTTTTTGGCATTTAATATAATATTGGCTCCTGGCTTTTCATACATAGCCTTTATCAGTTTGAGATAAAGACCATCTATTCCAATTTTCTGCAGGGTTTTTATCATGAATGGGTGTTGAATTTTGTCAAATGTTTTTTCTGCATTTATTGAGATGATCATATGGTTTTTGTCATTGACTCTGTTAATATAGTGTATTACGTTTATTGATTTATGTATGTTCAACCATCCTTGCATCCCTGGAATAAATCTAACCTGGTCAGGGTGTATGATCTTGATGCCCCTCTGTATTCTGTTTGCCAATATGATGCATATTTAAACATGTGCAAATTTTAGTGAAGTTTATTCAGAGCAGAGTTTTTGGTGAGTTTCTCGTGTTGCCTTCGGGATACTATTGAAATTATCCTTGTAGATTCTCCCAGAAAGCTAATGTTGAGGACCCTGATGCACTGAGGACACAGGAGGACTAATTTTTAACTGGCTGGTTGCTTATTCAATATATTTCAAATAGTTGATGGACAAATGAGTTAAAAGCTTATATTACTACATATTACTTAGGTTTTAAAACCCAAGAAATTGACCCTTATAAATTTGGATTTTTTTGATGTTCTATTAATTCAGATAGTTCTAAAGCTGTCATACATCAGGATGATTATTGATGCTTATAATGAAAAGAGGCAAAGGAGATAGCAATACTGATGACTATGGTGATAAAGACACAATGAAATTTGTCTAGTGACACATCACATTGCATTCTATAGTTAGCACTGAAGATCAAGATTATGAAAATGACTTTAAAATATAATTGCAATCGATACATGTTTTAGAATTTATGCTATGATGAATTTAAAAGTTATTTGTTGATTGTTTGACTAAGGCAAATGAAACTTATTTCTACTTCCTCCTCCAACAAAAGGAGTAAATTATGAGTAAGTTTGAAAGTATAATTTAATGTTTTAATAATGATCCTCCAAACTCAGAAAAATAACTTACCCACAATACATTTAATTTATATTTTCAATAGATATTAAATGTTATTACTATTATTCATGCCAAATTCCAGTTCTTTCAATGCACACATGTCCCAATATGAAACTTGACCAAGAAGTTGAATACTCAAAATTAAGACCTCCAGTATTTGACAGTTCTTTGAGAAAACGAGTTAAATTTATTGAATTTTAGGACTCTCTTATTCCCTTACTTCATCCTTATATGCCTATTAATTTTTAAAAATTGGTGTTATTTCATCAATCTCCTCTCTACATATTTTACACAGCTAAAATACTGTCAACTCATTTCAATCTATTTAAACAATTTCTTTAAACATTATGTCTTCTATACTGTGTATAGTTAGTCAGCAAAAGACAAAAACAAACACATGATGTACAGTCACCAAAAATAACTTGTAAAATTTAAAAGCATTTTAATGAACTTACTTGAAGTAAAAGAATATGCCAAGTGAGATAACCAGCGATGCGATAGATAATCCATGGCCAATTATAGTCAGGTAAAACAAATTCAGTGCAGTCTGTAATTTGCATTAATAAGTAAAATTAGACTCTTAACAATACTATATAAGTATCTATTATGCTACATGTGTGAGACCTAAAATGCGATTGAAAATATTCTGATTTTAAAAACATCTGATCCGATAGTCTTGCAATGATTTCCTGAAAGCCAGTAAATGCTTGAATATATCTGTAAAGAAGGACATCAAACTTTATAAACCACACGACTTTTAAGGAGTTGGTTTAGGTTATATGGTACATGAAGCTACAACTTTATATTTAAATGCAAATGCTCCTTGATAACATGACTCATTCAGACTTAAATGCCAGGTAGGGCTCTCTTTCTCAGTTGAATTTCCCTTTTTCCCTTGACAAATTTGGGTCTCAGATGCAAGTCTTAATGTGGTCACTTAGAAGATCTCACGATCTGTATGAAGGCTTAAAACTTTTCCTCTTTTCTCTATTTTTTTATTTTACATTTTTTAGCCTACCATTTTGTGGTATATTTTTATAATTATCTTCCCATACCTGTCCGAATAAACAGGGAATACGTAATTTATTAAAAAAAAGATACCTGGCAGTTATCAACAGCTTATTGTATGCTAGTCTTCTCCTTTCCTTACATTAAGCAAATTCTTCTGAAAGCTATTCCAAAATCTATTGTCATTCCATGTGCACAGGAGTGGATCAAGCCAAAGAGACATCAGATGTCTTGCCCAAGGCCAAGTAGTGAGTACAAAGCGGAAACAGGAAATCATATCCCAGGACTCAGTTTTTATTACTGTCACAAGTTGCCTGAATATATACACACAAGTGAAAATGTATACGGCCATTTTCTATGAAGCTTTATTTTGCTGAGCAATAGTAATTGACCTTGACTTTTGGGCCTGTTGTTCAGAGTGGGAACATGACAGAGCAACCCGACTTCCAGTCAGAATGAAAGCTTGCTCCTGAGGGACAGATAGTACCGTTTAAGCCCTACGGAGGTTATCCTGTTTATTTAAGCACAATTTCTGAGGTAATACTGGAATTCTTCCACTAGGGAAAGTTATCCCTTTCCTTACAGTCTTAAGATATGTTTTCTTTGGAAAATCTAAAGCTCCGCACTGAGACACTGACTTGTAAATACCCTCTTACCTAACAGATGGTTCCCTCTGTGTAATGATGGAATTGATAATCATTTTTTCCACATATATTTTTCTTCATTGTTCTCAAATTATATTATGAAATGGTTTGGTAATGGAGTGGAAACCGACCAAATTTTCTCTGATATTGCATTAGACAACTCATTGCTAAAACAGATCGTGTCAATTAAGTGTCAACCCACGCTGACTGCGCACCTTAACTTTGTCGGGGGTGTTAATGTTGCACTGGGTGTAGTTTGTCCACGTTCTGTTGCTTTCTGGATGTCTAAACCAGTTGCCATCTTGGTCACAGATCTTTGTAACTTTCTCTGTAAAATGATAAAGTAAACCATAAGTTCATCAGCCCAGAGCTTATTAGATACATGTCAACCGTTTATAGATTTCTGCTTTCACCTGAGGGATCAAAGTCTTGAAAGTAGTCAGGACAGTGCTGCATGGACTCGGTCCCCGCGGCGACATCACTCCAGCACAGCCACCCGTCCCATGTCCTGTTGCAGAAAATGCCTGAAAGAGGCAGGGGGACATTGGGGGTCACTGCTGGCTCCCACAGTCACACAGTCCTAGGCATTGCTTCTCACTGACACGGACTGAGTTTGTCTCTTGAAAATGAAGGTATTTCTGGCTCTTTTATTTCTTTTCAAATGAACTGGAATGCTGAAGAACCTCACTTGTCTCTCCAACACTAAGCCTTTTGCATTAAAACTGTAAGTGAAGTAATTCAGACAAACAAACCAAAATATAGTATGTTTCTCATATAGAAAATATACATATATATTACAAAATAAAGGACAGATTATAGGAAATAAGACAGAAAAAAATGACTCTTGTAATCCAGCATGCAACATGTATCCAAAAGTGTGCCTTGACTTAGTATAATTGTCTCACATGTTTTATATGTTTTTTGGCCTATAAGCTTGGTTTTTAATCTGTAAATATGATAATTAACTTTATAAGCTCTTATAAGATAAACAAATGAATCTGATGCTAGAAAAATAAAAGGAGGGTGGAGGGAAAGGGAAAAAAAGATCTCAAATGTGATATGTATATGTATGAACTCCCCACAGTGAATGTAATTTTTATGTACTGCAAACACATACTAATAAAGATTAAAAAAGCCCTTTATAACATTAAAAATATGTATAATTTTTTAAAGGCATACAGAAATTAACTGATCATTGTTCCAATGTTTCAACAGTCTTTGATCAAAGGAGGTAAGACTTTATAACTACCTGAGATATGTATTAATTTTAACAGATTAACACAGCAATCTTGAAATTAATCTTGCCCTCGTGATCATGGAAAATTACTCATGGCTTGAAACTTTAAGTGATTTTTCAAAAAGCATTTCAGATTAGATAATCACAGTTTTCTCTCTCCTGTGACTTTAAAACAGTTAAGTAATTTGCAAATACATATTAGTGAAATTAATTTTGTGGTTCAGTAGAGAAGTTATCTTAAATAGTTTCAGGAAACATGGAAACATATCCAATCACTGCTGAAAAATATTCTGTTTCATTAACATCAATGATGGCAGCATGACAGATTGTAAAGTGTAGTATATTTCAAGTTGTGTTTTATGGAATCAGGATAAGGTATGAGGAGGGTTACATTTAAAAAGGTTATGTGGTCAAATGGATTTCAGAAAAACAAAGTTAAAATAAATATTTTATTTTGAAATCCTTCAAAGACTTTTTATTGTTCAATGCCATTTAACAATTATCTGTTACACATGTCTATTACATATTACACTTATCTTGAAGGGCCAATTCAATAGTTTATAGAAATGCTATTTAGATTTTAATGTAATGAAGTGAAAAACATCAGTTTACACAAAGTGTATATAAATCTTTTAATTACTTGATAATTCAACTCCTGTTGACCTAAATCAGATAATGTGTCATTGTTTGGCATATTTTACATCATCCCTTTTACTGGCTAATATAAAAAAATTAGTGGACCTACATTGAAATCCTTCTCAAAAGGTTATCCAATTACATTGTTCAGTTAAACTGAGTCTAAAATTTGTTCAATGTAAACAAAACAAAACATGCTCTTATCTTTTACAAGCAGTCATTTTTTTTTAAATTTTATTGAGTTTATTGGTACATTTTAGGGTTACAGTGAAGTTACATTCATTGTTGGGATCTTGTACCTCTACATGACAAGTCTTGATTCTCATTTTTTCCTCCAATTACATTGTTCAGTTAAACTGAGTCTAAAATTTGTTCAATGTAAACAAAACAAAACATGCTCTTATCTTTTACAAGCAGTCATTTTTTTTTAAATTTTATTGAGTTTATTGGTACATTTTAGGGTTACAGTGAAGTTACATTCATTGTTGGGATCTTGTACCTCTACATGACAAGTCTTGATTCTCATTTTTTCCCCTTATACCACTTCTATCTTTCACCATGCACTAAACTAAAATCCAAGTGGATTAAAGATCTAAATATTAAATCCAAAACACTATAAAATGGAATATTACTCAGCCATAAAGAATGAGAAAATAGATTCATTCATAGGAAAAAGGATACATATTGAAGATATACTCCTAAGTGAAATAAATAAGGCACACATGTATAAATACCGAATAGTTTCTCTGGTGTGAATAATCTGCAATAAATTACAAGCAACATCATTTAGATATTTATGAATGTTAATATTCAACGTTCATTTATATACAGTTTATTAAAATGTCAAATTTTTTCAAATATTATAAGATCTTTTTCCCCTGATGCTTTAAAAATTGTGACTATCTACAGAATTTCTGTTTTTCTTTGTTTCAGTGAGTGTATTATGTTTTATATTTTGAAAATAAATTTTCTAAGGTTGCAGATAAAATATAGGCACTGTTTTTGTTTTTGCTAATTAATGCAACTCTACTTATGTTACTCATCTTTATATCTTCAAAATCTAATCAAATACTGTGCTTAGTAGTTCCTCCACACGTGGTAATAAGAAGAAAAAAAGAACATATTAAGGAAAGCAGAAATACATAGACTTCATTAACTTTGCTATCATATGTACTATAAAAATGTGTATTATTTTTTTAAAAAAACCTTCCATACTGATCATTTTATTTTACAAGTTCCTATCTAGCAGGTTCTAATAAAAATAAATTCAAATTAAATGAACTGAAGGTCTACTATCACTGACTTAATTTGAGACTTGTTTCTTTGTAAAAACTGTAATGCTATTTGATCTGTTTAATATCTTTAAACCACAGCATTATTCTAAAAAGATGTTATCATATTTTTATTAGTTTTTTCTAAAATAATTGAGATAAATTGTGTCATAAATAAATACCAGTTAAAACTGCGGATTTACCAGAAACCAAGCAACTAATTCATTTTTAAGAGTAGATCTAAATAACCTACAGTGTTATGAGGGGTAAATTTCTTTTAAAAATACATCAAATGCATTCAGAATTAAACGGTCACAGTTACCTTCTGTTTGTTGAATGGGGTCTTGCATAATTTTTTGATAACACTCGTACTGAGCAGTCATGATTTTATTTCTAGTCACCCCCAAGTGCAACGTGTCGTTAGGGTGTTCAGCTGTGACAAGGATCTAAGAGATTAAAACAACTTCAGAACGATGCAAATACCTTTGCCAGAGGCCGCCTGCCATCGTGAGAAGCACCAAATGCAGGGATGTGCTGGACGGGAAACTGACTCTAGCAGAAAGCCCGTTTGTGACTTTTGCCACTTTCCCACATCCTAGCGCATCTATGCAGAGGTGTGCATGACTACACATTCACAGGCACGCGCACACACACACACACACACACACACATACACACTCACGCTCAGATGCAGGCACACAGCTGCCCAAATTCAGCATTAATAGCCACTTATTGAATAAATGCATGAGAAAATTCAAAATACACTGCATGATTCTAAATTGCCTTTCAATCAGTGTATGTCAATCAGAAGGCGCAAAGAGGAAAAAAAATCAGTGCAAGTGCTCTTTCTAAAAATCTAATTCAGAGGGGCTAGAGATTTAGCTCAGCGGTGCCATCACTTGCCTTGCATGCTCAAGGATCTGAGTTCGACCCCCGGTACAAAAAAAAAACTACTTTAGAATCCACCAGGCTGATAAAAACTTTTTATTTACTACATACAACTGTACTACACAGAACCATTCCATTCCATTTTTTTAAACTCTGATAGCTCTCTCTGGTGTCTTCCACATTTGCGTTCCTTGCCAGTCTGATTTCCCTGAGACCCTTTCCTTTACTCTGGTTATAGCACTAAAAGGACACACTGAATAAAACTAAATTTTTGCTGTGCGGAATGGATATTATGTAATTATGCCTACCTTAATTTTGTTGTTATTAATCTTTATTGATTACAAGTATCTGGGAAGTAAGATAGAAATAATTTTAAATATGGAAATAAGTCAGAGGTATCTGTACTTACCATTAAAAAAGGCAACCGAAACAAAAAATAGAGGATACAATTTCTCTCCATCATTAGAGCCCAAATAAAATATCTATAAGTCAAACTGCAATGTAAAATGAAAGAAAAATATTTTATCAATATTCATGAAATAAATCCAGATAGTTCTCAAAAGAAAATGTCTTCTATAGTTATGTAATAATTTGATTTCCAAATTGATAGTATTATATATTGCAAACATTTCAGAACCTCAAAGATTGAAGTACCAAAGAGATTTAACAGGTTTTGGTTAATTAATTAGACTTATTTTTAAGAAAACCCCTTTCATATATATTTTTGGATAATTAAAAAACACCTTTCTTTTTTTGTCTTTACCAAAATTGGGATAAAATAATTAGAGCATCAAAATTAAAAGCTTTACGTTAACATCATAATGGAAATTTTGATAACATTTTATCATGAAATTTACTTACATTTTCTACAAGTATTGCTAAGCTAAGTTATAATTTCCTTATCCTTCATAAATTTAAAGGAGGAAAATTGTTCTTGGGGCAGTTTCTAGAGAATCAATATATATATATATATATATAGAAATTACTTTTTCACAACAGAAAATTCTTTGTAAATCAAGAAATAAATGCTTTCATAAGCCATCAACATAATTTATATAAGGTGACAGGAGATGGAAAATATCAAATCAAGTAATTCTAAGGCTGGGGATTTAGCTCAGCGGTTCGGTGGCCTGCCTTGCAAGCGCAAAGACCCGAGTTCAATCCCCGGTATAAAAAAAAAGGTAATTCTAGTGGTAGGCACCATTCTGAGGTAATGAACAATGGACTCTGAAATGCAGTCTGCCATCTTAACTCTAGGAGGTAATCCTTGCTGGGTTGTAGCTCCTACTTTTTTCCTATAAACTCCATGAGCAATGTTTTAGGACATACTATTCTCATGATATGTGAATTGCCAAGAAATAACCATAGAATATAATACTTGTTTAATTGAATATGCAAAAAATATTTTCCAAAACAATAAATATCTCAACAAAATGTCTCTGAACAGATAGTTCCCACTGAATTCTGAACTTAGACTTGATTCTCTTAGGAAATTTAGTCATGATTTTTATTGTAGGGCTATTGTCCAAACAAGAATTGTCAAACCCTTTTTTCCACGTGATCACATTTTATTTAGTGTTTTTATCCCATGCAAGGAGAGCACAGAACTGACTAGCTCAGAGAATCTCTGCAGTGCTCACCCTCACCAGTGCTCACCTAGAGGCAGTTTCCTTGTTTGTTAGAGCAATCTTCTGGATATGGTTTTCTCTTCTCTTAGCTATCCTGCGTTTTTATGATTAGGTGATCTTAAGAAGAACATAACAAAAAAAATCAGGAAGCATTGTATTCATCGTAAGTATTAAAAACAGGAGAGCAACTGATAAAATTAAGAATCAAAGTTTCTGTAACTCAGTAATCAATGACTTAATGTTTCAGTTTTTATTACATTTTGCCATGAAAAGATCTAATTTCCCAGTACTTACATGCACGATTGTCTCCAGACTCAAATCACATTTTCTCTTGGACCATATTCGACATTGTTCTGAAGAATTTCTTAAAGTCAGGGGTCATGACCTAAAATATTGATAGATTTTATAATAATTTAATATTATGTTAATGATACAAATTATTTCCATGAAAACATACAAGTACATATGACTACTGTCACATTTTATTGAGCTATTTTTCTTTTTTAAAGATCTCTTGTTTACAATAGAAATTATGTAGCACATTCGCTGTATGTTTCAACATCATAATACAGATATAAAATAAGAATACATTTGGCCTAGAATTGTATATGTTTTCTATGAGTAAACGATTTTAAAAGAGTGATTATGTAAAGGTGCAAATTTCCAATGATGAATGTCATTATACTGTATACCTCAAATGTACCACTAAAATTAATTTTAAAAAGGGTGATTATGCTGTTTTTGCACAAAAATAATTACTGAATTTTGGCATGATTCCTTTTTTCAAGCACTGTGAAAATATTGTTTCTAGGCATTTATAACCTAAGTAAGTTTATTTAAATTGATTGTATCTATATCTATGTAATACTAAAGCATACTGCCTTTAAAAGTAAATTTTATGGAAAATTTAATTATAGACCAAAATTAATAGAAAGGCCAAAGAAAAGAAGATTTTTTTTTGTTTTATTTTAGCTTTTGTTTCTTTTGCACACATTTTTATGGTGTAGGTGCAGATAGGATATTATTGCAAAACGCTCCATATCACGTCAGCACTAACTTATCAGGATTTGCGCTGAGAAGTAAAAAGTTAAAGTAATTTAAGATTCATCATTAAATTTCACTTTTCCATCCAGGTTTTTGCCCGGAACTAGGGAAAGATAGTGGACAGTACAGATTGGATTATAGGTTGTGTCCAGGAGCCCCGGAAATCTCCGACTTATGATCCATCCCCCACGCCCCCCAATTCCTAATTCCTGTGCAACAGAACCTGATGCAATGACAAGTTATCCATCTTTGCTAGGGTAACAGTTTGCGACACTGTAGTTGTTTGGATGTTGTATTAAGAGTAGTTAACTGTATTGAATTTGGAATGCAGAAAGACCAAGGCAAATTTAAAACATTGGTAGTTCATATTTAAAACACTGATATTTCATGTTTTTCTGTATAAAATGTATATATATTTTTACATATATAAATAAGAACATAAATATTATACTATTTGGAAATCAGATGGGTTCTACAAAATAACGCTTTGATGATTTACATAATGCAGGGTTCTATTACCTTTAATATGTACGTAGTCTCGAAAAAATATTAAAGGGGAAAGTGCTTCAAATATCATGTTTGGAAGTTTCCAAAACCCAACATATTTGAGAAACATTTTATCCAACATTGCTTTTATTTTTATTGCTTATCTCTTAAATTTGAAAGTCAGAGTTCCAAACATATCTTAGTGAAACATATGTTACAAGTTACTTAGTCATCCTAGCAGTGATCCTTGAAAAGGATTTTATTCAACCCACAAAATATTTATCATGCGAAAAATGCAATTTTTACAGCATGTCTTCTTTTATTCTCCAGGGTTCTGAAAAATGGTGTATTTTATATTGTGAAATACACGTCTAATTGATGGGGTTTCTCAGGACTAGAGATGCAAGTTTAAGTGATAGTTACTCAAACACACAATGGGATTTATATTCTCCAAGAAATCCAGCAATGTTTAATTTATTGGGTGATCTGATTCACTTGCGTTGTCTTCTCTACCTGGCACCTAACAAAATGTTCCACAAGAATACACGGGTGGTGAGTAGAATTGCCCTTTCACCAAATGTTCTTTCAATCAAAAAGGGAACAATCATGACTGGGTCTGAATTAATGTCATTGCAAGTAGAGCTAAAAGTCAACTTAGATTGAGTCTCATATTGGTAAGCGTAGTGGTGTACGTCCAAGTGTATTCCTTGGTTAACTTACTGGCTCTTTACAAACTTCCTGTAACTGGTTCATCTGCAAGTGGTTCTCTCTTCTGTATTTAGCACATTTTAAACTCAGCTTTTTAAAAATATATTTGCTATTAACTGTTTAAAGCTGTTAAGCAAATCATTTTCAATATTCTTCAGATTTTAAATTATTGACTGACAACAGCGAGTTACCTTATGAGATGAGGTGTGCTCTTTTGACTTGGGGGAGAGACCAAGTAAATAATGAAAGGAGATGAACTGATGGATTAGAGGGTTAAAGTTTGTTTAGTAGGAAAAAAGACTTACTCAGAGATGAGAAAGAATTAGTGAATTAGTAATCACAAGTAGTAGTAGTAGTAGTAGTAGCTATTAATCCTTTCTCTTACTAGTTTATAGTCTGACAGATCCTCTAAGTATTATTTTATATTACCTGCTTAGGATTAAACAAGGTGGGAGGATGGGTTCTACTACTGGAAATGTGAGAATTTGTTTTACTATTTAAATAGAATAAAATATATTCTTATTTCCAAATGCTTCCCATACTTTCTTCAAATTTTCAATATTAAATGATTGAAATTTAAATGATTTAAAAATTTTAAAGGATTTATTTCATCACAGAAAGAACTTTAAGAAATGAAGACAGTCTTAAAAACTCAAGTAACTTTTGAAGCATAGTTACCTAAGACTAGAAATAAAAGCCAGTGGTACAGTGCATCCCATGAGCAAAGTCCTGGGCTCAATTCCTGACAACACACCACACACACACACACACACACGGACATTACCTGAAATATAGCTGCATAGTCACTGAGGACTATGTAATCTATATGGTTTTATTTCCTAAAACCATGAAAGATTCACCCTATAAGACAACTTTTCATGCACCGGTATTTTAATATTATCAATTTAAGAGAACTAACTTCTTGGTTTATTGTCATGTAACAGTATTAGGCTGTCATTTCTTTCTCTGTTGGAATTAAAGAAGATTAGTAACTTTCAGTGGTAATTATAGCAATGGTGTTCACATAAAATTAGAAACTCAATGGTACACAAAAAGATGAAACCTTGCCCAAAGCCTGCCTATATGCTTATTGTTTTCTCAGACTTTTATCTTCCTTTATATACTTTCTATCAATTGATTTTTCTTTATAATTATTTATATACTTTAATCAACTCTCCCTAATATTAGAAGTGTTTGTTCTTTCCATAATTAAGAGAAAAATAACTTTGATCTTCTACTTCTTTGTTTCTGAAATACAGATATTTCTTAACAATCTATCTGTTGTTCTAACAACAAGTGTTCACTTATGACTTAGGCTTGCTGTTCACACTTGCAACCTGCCACTGGGATTTATGACCTTTTCCTTATCTTCCACACAGTTCTGTACATCTTGCTGATAGGCCTCCATTGTCTTTTGGGGAGTACAGTGTAATTTGTTTATATAACACTGTAAGTTTTGCTTGTTGTACTGTATAGTGCTGTAGTTTTATGTTCTGTTATATGTTACATTACTGCATGTAAGAGCAAATCAGAGCAAAGTCATCAAGCTGAAGCCTCCTATGATCATTTCCGAATATCATAATGTATAGATTACTGTATACACAGCTCCTCATTTGTCCACCAATTCATTTAACAACCTAGTCATCACTCAAGGGATGCCTGTATCTTAGGGCTTCGGAGGCCCTAAACCTATTATTTATTTCCATTCATTGATCCAGTCAATATAAGTTTGGGCAACAGAAGCATTTCCTACAGATGTGGCACCTAGTTTGCCAAAAAGTATACAGAGCCTAGGAGAGAGCAAAGAAGGGCTGTGCGTGGTCCAGAATGTGCCTTTGTATGTCAAACAAGCAACAACATTTCTCCTGAATCAAAACAAAGGAGAAGCACTCTTTTCTCACCTCACTATCACACACCTGCACGACAAATGGAAACCTTTCCCATCATTCTCCTCTATCTATTATGGGGTATATTACTGAAAAATCATAAAGTATAAGAGCCAGGTTATCTTTTATTTTCTCTTTCCTGTGTATTTCTGGCAAAATTCAAGTCGGTGTGCTGTAATTACCTTCACGAGTTACTAAATGTCTTCACTTCCTGCAGAAAAGGAAATGACAACCTGAAGTTTTTTGAAATCAATTTTTGGTACCACGTAGATATTCATAATGATCGTATCCATTGGGAGTATTTGCACCTCTATATGCTTTGTCTTGATTGCTACTTTTTCTCATTCCCCTTCCCTCCCTTCACCCCCTTCTTCTCCTTAAAAAAGCTTTGTTTCCATTTTTTCTTCTTTTCCCTTCCTCCTTCCCCTTCCCCCTCTCTAGCTCCCCTTCCCATGTGAACAATTTCTCCCTATTTCACAGTATCTGTTGTACATTTCGGTCCATTTTTTTTCCGTACCAGGCATCAAACTCAGCACCTGTGCTTCCCAGGCAGATTGGAGCCACTAACCCACAGCCTTGGCTCTGCTTTGTTCCTTCTTTACACTTTGAGTGTCTTACACCAGAGAGACGATGTGCTGTTTACATAAGTATGTCTGCTTTACTGCATTTAAGAGTATTGTCTCCAGGTGCATCTCTTTACCTAGAAATATCTCGTTTATCATTCTTTACACCTGAATACTACTCCTTTGTATATTAAAAAAAAAAAAAACACATCCTTTTTATTCATTAGTTGGTTGATGGGCATTTGAGTTTTTTCCAATATTTAGCTATTATAAACTATGCTGCTATAAACATGGATTCAGCCTAGTGTTTTAATGGCTCCTAAATCTGGCCTGGAAATTCCCTCACATTTGCAAGAAAACCAAAATATAAAAAGACTTCTCTTTCTAAATATTTGTTAAAAACAGCTTTAAACCCCAGGTCTTACAACACTCAAAAACTCTAAACTGATTTATGAAACTGATATATGAAACTCCAACTATACATCCTTTTAAAAATGATATTGTGTGGGGTTGGCATTGATGTTTGGGCTAAACCAGTGCTCCTCAAACTGTAGCCAGCTGGGCCACCTTCACCAGAATCACCGCTAATTCTTGCTGAAGATGTTAAAATGGCCAGACCCTACCAAAAATCTCCGAATCAGAATGTTTAGGAGAAAAACTTGAGAATCTGTATTTTTACTAAATACCGAAGAAAATTC